AACATGTTAAGGATCTCGCAACAATGCAACCAACAAATCCAGACCAAAAGCGTGTCAATAAGACAAATAAACTGCCTGAGAAGGGGGAAAAAATGGGCCTGAGGGGTGGCCTAGATTTTCAAAAGACGTTAAGAACCATAGCAGCAGTCACAACATGAAGACCTTACTTGGAGTCTGATTTAAAGTGTTTACAGACTTATGTATAAAAATATTGAAAATCTGAACACTAGTCACATATGTAGTGATGGTAAAAAACTTACTGTTTTGGGTGTCGTCACAGCATTGTGGTTATTTTTCAGATACACAGATGCTCCTCAATGCATGATAGTGTTAAATCCTGATGAACCCATTGTTAAGTTAAAAACATTTAAGTGGAATTTTTTTTCTTTTTACTCTCTCATCAAGGAATGACTCAGGCTCACTATAACCTCCACCTCCCTGGGTTCAAGCAATTCTCCCACCTCAGCTTCCTGAGTAGCTGGAACCACAGCGGCACGCCACCACACCCAGCTAATTTTTTTATGTTTTGGTAGAGACAGGGTTTCACTATATTGGCCAGGTTGGTCTCGAACTCCTGACCCCATGACCTGCCTGCCTCAGCCTCCTAAAGTGCTGGGATTATAGGCATGAACCATTGTGCCAGGCCTGAAATTTTTTTTTTTTTAAACAGACAGGGTGTCACTCTGTGTCTGTCCCCAAGGCTGGAGCGCAGTGCCGCAATCACAGCTCACTCAGCCTTGACCGATTGGGCTCAACCTCTCCTCCCACCGCAGCCTTCTAAGTAGCTGCGACTTAAAGTGTGAGCCACTGCACCTGGCTTCAAAATGCAATTTTTTTTTTTTTGAGGTGTTTCACTCGTGTTGCCCAGGTTGGTGTGCAGTGGTGCGATCTTTGCTCACTGCAACCTCTGCCTCCGGAGTTCAAGTGATTCTCCTGCCTCAGCCTCCCAAGTAGCTGGCATTACAGGCGTGCACCAGCTAACCTTGTATTTTTAGCAGAGATGGGGTTTCACCATGTTGGTCAGGCTGGTCTCGAACTCCTGACCTCAAGTGACCCACCCACCTCGGCTTCCCAAAGTGCTGGGCTTATGGGCATGAGCCACTGCACACAGCCCTGAAATGCATTTAATACCTGGATAAGCCCACTATGAAGTCAAAAAACTGTAAACTGAACCACAGTGAGTTGAAGACTATCTGTACTTAAATACTGATTGAGAGTGAGCCAATACGATGTCTTCTCAAAATAATTTGAAGAGAGAGTGGAGGCCCGCTTGAAATTCAGATGGCCACAAGTTGGTACGTGAAGCTGGTGGAAGGGAATATGAAAGTTCAGGAAACTACTGTCTTTTTTTTTTTTTTTAATTATTATTATGTATGTTTTAACTTTTCCACTTTAAAACATTCTTTAAAAAAATTATTCCTTTGGCCGGGGTGGTGGTTCACGCCTGTAATCCTAGCACTTTGGGAGGCGGAGGGGGGCGGATCATGAAGTCAGGAGTTTGAGACCAGCCTGTCCAAAATAGTGAAACCCCATCTCTACTAAAAATACAAAAAATTAGCCCATGGTGGTGGGCGCCTGTAATCCCAGCTACTTGGGAGGCTGAGGCAGGAGAATCACTCAAACCCAGGAGGCAGAGGTTGCAGTGAGCTGAGATGTCGCCAATGCACTCCAGCCTGGGCAACAGTGTGAGACTCTGCCTAAAAAAAAAAAAAAAAAATTACTCCTTCATTCAGGCTGGGTGCAGTGGCTCACTCTTGTAATCCCAGCACTTTGGGAGCTGAGGTAGACAGATCACTTGAGGTCAGGAGTTTGTGATCAGCCTGGCCAACAAGGTGAAAATACATAAATTAGCCAGGTGTAGTGGCACACACCTGTAGTCCCAGCTACTTGGGAAGCTGAACCAGAATCACTTGAACCTGGAAGGTGGAGGCTGCAGTGAGCCAAGATCATGCCACTGCACTCCAGCCTGGGCGACAGTGAGACCCTGTCTCAAAAAAAAAAAAAAAAAAATCATTTATTCATTCATTAAAGATTTCATGAGTACATAAAGTATGGTAGGCTTTGATCCAGACCCTGGAGATTCATCAAGGAATGAAAATTAAAGACCTCTGGTTGGGTAGATAATCAGTGTGCAAAGTTCAGGTATATGATATTGTGTTAAGTATTAAAGATACTCAGAAAAAACACTCAAGAATCAGCTGTCGGCTGGACGCAGTGGCTCACGCCTGTAATCCTAGCACTTTGGGAGGCCAAGGTGGGCGGATCACCTGAGGTCAGGAGTTGGAGACCAGCGTGGCCAACATGGTGAAACCCCGTCTCTACTAAAAATACGAAAAATTAGCCAGGCGTGGTGGTGCACACCTGTAATCCCAGCTACTCAGGAGACTGAGGCAGGAGAATCAATTGAACTTGGGAGGCAGAGGTTGCAGTGACCTGAGATCATACCACTGCACTCCAACCTGAACAAGAGTGAAACTCCATCTCAAAAAAAAAAAAAAAAATCAGCTGTGGGGACTGTGTCCCCTGCCCCATATTACAGATGAAGCCACAAAGACGTAGTAGTGACTTCAATTTCCAAAGACAAATGCATGTATCTACTGCTGCATAATAACCCTAAGACCAACACTGGCTGAGTGCAGTGGCTCATGCCTATAATCCCAGCTCTTTGGGAGGCCGAGACGGGACTGCTAGAGCCTAAGAGTTCAAGACCAGCCTATGTAACACAGTGAGACTCTTTAGCTACAAAAAGAAAAAAAAAGAAAAGAAAAACTAGCTGGGCATGGTAGTATACACCTATAGTCCCAGCCACTCAGGAGGCTGAGGTTGGAGTATCACTTGAACCCAGAAGGTAGAGGCTGCAGTGAGCTGTGATCCTGGCACTGCACTCTAGAGCAAGACCCTGTCTAGAAAAAAAGACCAAAATTATCACCTTTTCTGTGGGTTCGACGCCTCAGGCTCAAGGTCTGCTTTAACGCTGCAGTCAGCCTGTCAGCCAGCGCTGCAGTTTCATCTGAAGGCTGGACTGTGGGAGGACTGCTTCCAAGCTCATTCAGGCAGCTGTTGGGGAGATTCAGTTGCTTGTGGAAACTAGACTGAAGGTCCGTGTTTTTTCTTTACATGTGGACCTCTCCAGATGGCTCACAACACAGCAGCTGGCTTTCCCAATAGCAAGACAGGGGCCAGTCTTTGTATCCACCCTTTGTACTCTCCCTCCATATTGCAGCCACAGTAACATGGCCACTAAGAAGTACAATTCCTTTTTTTCTTTTTTTATGAGATGGAGTCTCACTCTGTCACCCAGGATGGAGGCTAGAGTACAGTGGCACAATCTCAGCTCACTGCAACCTCTACCTCCCAAGTTCAAGTAACTTTCCTACCTCAGCCTCCAGAGTAGCTGGGACAACAGGCATGCGCCACCACACCCGGATACCTTTTGTATTTTTAGTAGCAAGTTTCACCATGTTGGCCAGGCTGGTCTCAACTCCTGACCTCAAGTGACCCACCCACCTCAGCCTCCCAAAGCTTTGAGATTACAGGTGTGAGCCACCACGCCCAGCCATGTTTTATTGAACACAATGCAAATGGCAGCCCCTGGAGTTTTCCCTACTTCCTAGTGCTCAAATACTGAGCTCACTCTTATCCCAGGACCTCTGCACTTCCTCCAGATCTTCACAAGCCAGGCTCCTCCAGATCACTTGGGGCTCCCAAGGATTTCAGCTCTGGACTTTGCTGACCACCTTATGTAATGTTGCCCCCTCAGCTTCCAACTTCCACATTGCCAAGGAGAAAAGTAAGCCTCAGAGGAGTTTGGTCACTTGCCCAAGGTCAGAATGAAGAAACAACGGAGAATCTGAACTCATTTTTCACCTCCAAACTGCTTCAGAGATCCACAGGCTCAGCATCCTTCTCCAGACGGTCCGCCTCGCTCCCAGAGACCCTCACTTCTGGACTGGCAAGTCCAGGTTTTTTATTTTTCTTGAGATGGAGTCCCTCTCTTGATGCCCAGGCTGGAGTGCAGTGGCGCAGTCTTGGCTCACTGCAACCTCTGCTTCCTGGGTTCAAGTGATTCTCCTGCCTCAGCTTCCCGAGTAGCTGGGACTACAGGCACGTGCCACCAGGCCTGGCTAATTTTTTGTATTTTTAGTAGAGACAGGGTTTCACCGTATTAGCCAGAATACTTTTTTTTTTTTTTTTTTTTGGAGGTGGAGCTTCACTCGTCACCCAGGCTAGAGTGCAATGGCACAATCTCAGCTGACCACAACCTCTGCCTCCCAGGTTCAAGCGATTCTCCTGCCTCAGCCCACCTCCCCGCCGCCAGCAAGTAGCTGGGATTACAGACATGCGCCACAACATCTGGTTAATTTTGCCTTTTTTTTTTTTTTTTTTTTTTTGTAGAGATGTGGTTTCTCCATGTTGGTTAGGCTGGTCTTGAACTCCCAACCTCACATGATCTGCCTGCCTCAGCCTCCCAAAGTGCTGGAATTACAGGCGTGAGCCACCGCACCTGGTGCCAGGATAGTCTTGATCTCCTGACCTCGTGATCCACCCGCCTTGGCTTCCCAAAGTGCTGGGATGACAGGTGTGAGCCACTGTGTCCAGCCCAGACTGCACTTTTGTGAGCAGAAAAAGGTGAAGGAACACCTCTTCCTGAACACACTTGTCATGTGTCAGAAAACTGGTGGCACAGACACATAAGCCTACAAAATGAATGGTGTGCCCTTAAAGGTGGCATTCTTGTGCAGTACCCAACGTGCCTAACTGTACATGGCAGCCCTGACTTTGCATTTCCTGACCTAGGATTCCATTTCCTGCTGTGAATAGGGACAATACACAAAACTGCCAAAGCAGTAGCTGTAACCTAAGTTTGAACAATATTACTACACTATTCTGTGTTTCCCCAGGGTTGCAAACCTCAAAATGCCAAGAGGTCAAAAAACCCAGGATGTGCTGGTGAGGTGGAGGGAAAGGAACCAGGGAGAGCAAGAAAATCAGACAAATGATTGTGAAAAACCAAACCTCAAAGAACCACTTTAATTCCGGCCTAACAGCACCAGGTGCAATGTCTGGGGACAGACTCTGGGTACAATGCTGTGTGGCGACCACTCACTCACACACGGCTCCAAGGAGGCCCCCAAGGGGGACTTACCTTCAGGGAGCTGCGCCAAGGGGGAAAGGGGTAGCCCCAGAATAGGGGAAGGGGCAGGCACGGGGGAAAAGGTGCTACTTCTTGGCAAAGGAGATCTTCATGGCGTTGTTCTGGGTGATCTTAAAGCCCTGCAGGGCATCGCGAGCTGCCCCTGCCTGTACCTCATTGTCGAACTCCACGAAGGCGATGTCATGCCGCCCAGGGACCAGACGGACCTCCTTGAAGCCAGGGAATCTGGAAGAGAATGACAGACCTCAGGGACTCGGCATTTCCCCCTAACATGCTGGCATCGAGTGGACACAAGTCAAAAATGATGCCAAATAGCCTCCAATGCACAGGACAGTGCCCCATTAATACCAATTATCCAGCCCAAAATGTAGGTAGCACTCAACTGAAAAACTCTAATGTAAACGTAGCATTTAATGAAAATTTTTAATACAAACACCCATGCATCTGCAAATAGTACACTGCAGACCCCCAGGCCCTTCCTAAATCATACCCCCTACCCCGCCACACCAACAATAATTGGTACCCTCCCTTTGTTCAGTTTTGTTTGTATTTTTAGCAGAGATGGGTTTCACCATGTTGGCCATGCTGGTCTCAAACTGCTGACCTCAAGCGATCTGCCTGCCTCAGCCTCCTAGGACACTAGGAATACAGGCGTGAGCCACCGCGCCTGGCCTTACGCTCACTTTTCTGATATGCTGTTTCTCTAATTTCCCCCTTCTCATTGCGTACTTCTTTCTCCATTAAGCAACCATCCTCATGTTTACTGGGTATCCTATTTTCCATCAGCATTCCGACAAAATATACAGCTTTGTGGGCATGCTGCACGTGTGGTATTGCTTTTCTGTTTTTCTCAGGCTCTCACGATCTCCTCTCAGCATTATTATAAAGTTGCACTTTCTTGCCAGGCACAGTGGCTCACGCCAGTAATCCTGGCACTTTGGAAGGCCTAGGTGGGCGGATCACAAGGTCAGAAGTTTGAGACCAGTCTGGCCAATATGGTGAAACCCGTCTGCACTGAAAATACAAAAAATAGCAGGGTGTGGTAGTGGGCACCTGCAGTCCCAGCTACTCGGGACGCAGAGGCAGGAGAATTGCTCGATCCCAGGAGGCAAAGGTTGCAGTGAGCGGAGATCGTACCACTGCACTACAGCCTGGGTGACAGAGTGAGACTCCATGTCAAAAAAAAAAAAAAAATTGCGCTTTCTGTTCTTGTAAGTGTCACACAGTGCAGCCTGGTGAGTACCTGCATGAGGCCCATCTCTTCTTATAGACAGCCTCCAACCCCCCCACCACAAATACTGTGATGAATGCCCCATTCACAGCCCCTGAAACAGAACCACCAGACAAACTCACTCACATCCACAGCTTCACTCAATGGTGAACGGCCCCTCTACACATCGGCCGTGCTGGTCTCCACCCTGACACCAGGCACAAGAGTCCACACGGTCCAATCTCCCACACTTGCTGTTTTTGAGCACACTGACTTCTGCCAGTCTTATAGCTAGTGCTCAAAGACGTCTTGATGTAGTGTTACATGTACCTTGCCTTGCATGGCTCCATTTTAGGGGCTGGGAAAATGAGGCCCAGAGCCTGGACTCCCTCAGCCCTCAATTAAGCCTGAAAAAGGCCACAAGCCCTGGCCATGGTGACCTTTCCAGCCTCATCACCACGTCCCCAAAGGCCATGGGCCCAGCCACAGCCTCCTCCTTTTACATCTTTAGTCCCTCTTGCAAAGCCGTACTTGGCTTAGGGCTCTGCTGGCAGAGGTCTGAGGCCTGTTCCCATGGAGATGCCTCCTGCCCATCAGCCTCCAGGGACCACCCAGCCACAGGCCCCACTTACTGATTGAAAAGCATGGACAGCATGAGCTCGTTGGTCTCCTCTGGCAGATTGGTGAGGAACAAGATGTGATTCGGTGGATTCTCGGAATGCTGTGGGGGTGTGAGGGAGCCGGTGAACACAGAAGCCCTAAACCTAGTGGGGGACCCCAGTACAGCCCCTTCCTCCATCACTCACACTGCATGGATTCATTCTGGTACTTCCACCCAATGCACCACATACTGTTGCCCATCCGCCCCCCACCCCTTTCCCCCTACAGACTGTAGGCCACAGGACAGCAGAGGTTTCTGTCTCAGTCCCTGCTGCATTGCTACGGTGCAGTCTGGGCCTGGCGCATAAGCAGGCGTTCAACAGCTCACAGAATGAACCTAGGTGCTGGCACCGCTCCAGCCTGCCCTAACCTTCTGGACCCTCCAACCAGCATGCCAATTCCTCTTTGCCCAAGGCCCACCCCCACTGCTACATCCTCATAATTCAGTACCACCCCCTCAGGGGGGGCCTGCCCAGACCACAACCTACAACTGCCCCCCAGCTGGTCCCTTTCTAGTCTTGTATTCTATTTATATGAGGCCTGGTGGGGTGGGGACGGGACTAGATACTCACAGGCTGCGCAGGGGGCATCTGTCCTGGCATGAGCTGCTGTGGGGGCATGGCCCCTGGTGGGATCTGGCCAGGTGCAAGGCCTGGTGGGGGGATCATGCCAGGGGGCGGCATGTAGGGCGGCTGGCCCGGCATGTGGTGCATGATGCGTGGTGCCTGAGTCATTGGTGGCATGCCCTGTGGGGAGAGGAAGGAGAGCACGTGGTTACGGCCTCCCCAGGAGGCAGAGAAGAGGCCAGGAGAGGAAACCCAGCGGGTGAGCGATGCAAGAAAAAACACCCAGAAAGAGGTGAAAAAGGCACCCAGAGAGGGCCAGACAGAGCAAAAACCAACCCAGGGTCTAGTGGCACATTAAATCAGAAAGAGCTAACTTAAAAACTCCCCAGGTGCAGTGGCATACCCCTATAGTCCCAGCTATTTAGGAGGCTGAGGTGGGAGGATCACTTGAACCCGGGAGGTCAAGACCCCGTGCAGTGAGCCATGATTGTGCCACAGCACTCCAACCAGCCTGGGAAGCAGAGCAAGATCCTACCTCTTAAAAAACAAAAGCAGGCCGGGTGCAGTGGCTCAAGCCCGTAATCCCAACATTTTGGGAGACCAGGACATGTGAATCACATGGTCAGGAGATAGAGACCATCCTGGCCAACATGGTGAAACCCTGTCTCTACTAAAATACAAAAAATTAGTCGGGCGTGGTGGTGTGCACCTGTAGTCCCAGCTACTCAGGAGGATGAGGCTGGGGAACTGCTTGAACCTGGGAGGCGGAGGTTGCAGTCAGCAGAGATTGTGCCACTGCACTCTAGCCTGGGTGACAGTGTGAGAGTCTGTCTCAAAAGCAAAACAGAACAAACAACAACAACAAAAAAGCCCCACATCAAAGGAGGGCAGAGATGGAAAGGGACAGCCAGGGAAGGAGCAGAAAGAAATGTGTCGTAGGCCGGGCGCGGTGGCTCACGCCTATGATCCCAGCAGTTTGAGACCAGCCTGGGCAACATGGTGCAACCCCCTCCCTACTAAAAACACAAATATTAGCTAGGTGTGGTGGTGGGCACCTGTAATCCCAGCTACTAGAGAGGCTGAGGCAGGAGAATTGCTTGAACCTGGAAGTTGCAGTGAGCCGAGACTGCACCACTGCCCTCCAGCCTGGGTGACAGAGTAAGACTCTGTTCCAAAAAATAAAACCAAAAACAAATGAGGGCAGAGATGGCAAGGGACACTCCGGGCAGGTGCAGAACAAAACGCACGGCAGCAAGGGGAAGAGGGAAGACAGCAGATGGCAGGCAGCACAGACGGGCTGGAGTCACAATCTGAAGTCGAAAGTGGACAGAAAGCTGGGTGTAGTGAAGACAAGAGAGGTTAACAACAGGAGCCCACAGTAATCCGGAAGCCACAGGCGACTTGGAGAAAGTGTGAGTGGCACTGAACAGAGCACGACTCAGTCAGAGCCAGAGACAAAAGTCAGAGAGACACAGAGGCTCAGAGACCCAAGAAGTGGGCCCAGTTCGTCCATCTTTTCTTTCTTTCTTTTTTTTTTTTTTTTTTTTTGGGACAAAGGTTTTCTTTTTTGGCCCAGGCTGGAGTGCAGTGGTGTGATCTCGGCTCACTGCAACCCCCACCTCCTGGGTTCAAGCGATTCTCCTGCTTCAACCTCCCAAGTAGCTGGGATTACAGGTGCCTGCCATCATGCCCAGTTAATTTTTGTATGTTTAATAGAGATGGGGTTTCACTGTGTTGACCAGGCTGGTCTTGAACTCCTGACCTCGTGATCCACCCACCTTGGCCTCCCAAAGTGCTGAAATTACAAGTGTGAGCCACCGCACCTGGCCTTGTCCTTCTTTTCTTTTTATTTATCTATTTATTTGTTTGTTTGTGTATTTATTTATTTAAAGAGACGGGGTCTCGGCCAGGAGCGGTGGCTCACGCCTTAATCCTAGCACTTTGGGAGGCTGAGGTGGGTGGATCACCTCAGGTCAGGAGTTTAAGACAAGCCTGGCCATCAGGGTGAAACCCCATCTTTATTTAAAAAAAAAAAAAGAGAGAGAGACGGGGGTCTCGCTATGTTGCTCAGGCTGGAGTATAGTGGCTATTAACAGGTGCAATCACACTACTGATCAGCACGGGAGTTTTGACCTGCTCCGTTTCCGACCTGGGCTGGTTCACCCCTCCTTAGGCAACCTGATGGTCCCCCGCTCCCGGAGGTCAGCATATTGATGCCAAACTTATTGCAGACACCCGATTGGCATAGCACACTACAGCCCAGAACTCCTGGGCTCAATCGATCCTCCCACCTCAGCCTCCTTAGTAGCTGGGACGACAGGCACGCACCACTGCACCCAGCCCATCTTTTCTTTTGTACTTAGTGCTCTTCATATCCTGTTTGGAAAACAGGATGTTTCCACTTTTCATGCCTTCACCAAGGTCATGAAGACATTTTCCTGTTTTCTTCTAGAAACTGCATTGTGTGAGGGCCAGGTGCAGTGGCTCAAGCCTGTAATCCCAGCACTTCGGGAGGCCGAGGTGGGCAGATCACTTGAGGCCAGGAGTTCAAGACCAGCCTGGCAAACATGGTGAAATCCCATCTCTACTTAAAAACAAAAACAAACAAAAAATTAGCCTGGCATGGTGGCACCCACCAGTTGTCTCACTAACTAGGGAGGCTGAGGCAGAATCACTTGAACCTCGGAGGCTGAGGTTGCAGTGAGCCAAAATCGTGCCATTATACTCCAGCTTGAGCAGTAAGACCAAAGCTCCATCTCAAAATAATAATAATTAATAAATATGTAATAAAACGGATTTTTTCCATATTGCCCTTACACCCAGTGACTTTTCTAAATTAATCTTAACAGTTGCTTAGTAGATACTTGGATTTTCTACATGCACAATGACTTAAAAGACAGGCACCAGGCCTGGTGGCTCATCCCTGTAATTCCAGCACTTTGGGAGGCTGAGGCGGGCAGAACAAGAGGTCAGGAGTTCAAGACCAGCCTGGCCAATATGGTTAAACCCCATCTCTACTAAAAATACAAAAATTAGTCAGGCGTGGTGGCACATGCCTATAGTCCAGGCTACTCGGGAGCCTGAGGCAGGAGAACTGCTTGAACCTGAGAGGTGGAGGTTGCAGTGAGCTGAGATCACGCCACTGCACTCCAGTCTGGGTAACAGAGCAAGACTCTGTCTCAAAAAAAAAAAGACAGAAAAAACAAAGACACAGGCAACAAACTCAAGACCAAGGAGACAGCGATACCAAGCCACAGCCATGAAGAAAGAAAGACCTTGAGAAACAGTCACACAGACAGGGAACAGGAGTTTTGAGTGGGGATGGCATCATCTAGGTACTCAACACCCCCCAAAAAACAGACAGACACATAATCTCTATAAGGAAATGGAAAGGAGGGGTCTGAAGCCCCAAGGAGAGAACTCTCCCCACCCTGTCCCAAAGCCAGTCTATGTGGCTAAGGAAAGCCTGTCAGTGGGAGGGCTGGTCTACTGGGCCTGCCTTACCGGGACAGGCCCCTGCACGGCTCCCACCACGGGGGCAGCTGCCCCGCCCTGCACAGCCTTCTTGGCAGCTGGGGTCTCCTGGCTCTTGGGCTTTCTCTTCTCCCGCTTTCGATCCCGCTCCACAAAGGTGCCTTTCATCTTGGCAATGATATCTGAGTCAGTCTTGGCATACTGGATACGCTACCAAACAGAGAGCAGAATGGGTTAAGGGCATGGATTCAGAGCCCAATTGCCAAGATTGAAAATCGGACTCTATCAGGGGCCAGGAGGTTGAGACCACTTTGACCAACATGGCAAAATCCCATTTCCATCCAAAATACAAAAATTATCTGGGCATGGTGGTGTACACCTGTATTCCCAGCTACTCAAGAGACTGAGGTAGGAGAATAAGTTGAACCCGGGAGGC